AAAAAAACTCGACACATTGAAAATATATTTTTTAAAGCCAAAAAATATAATCTACTCAAACAAAACAAGTACGCTCAAGCGCATCCAGTCAAACGCAAAAAAAAATTATTAAAATAAATAAAAATAATAAAAAAAAAGTCCGGAAACCCGGATTTGAACCAGGGACCTAGAGATAGCTAATTGTCCACTACAGTCTCCCGCTCTACCGCTGAGCTATTTCCGGTTGTTAAATACAGACCCAATAAATTGTATATAAACTATCTAATACTATTTGTACAAATGATGTTTGCTTGATGAACGTGTTGGCGGGCCAGCTGTCTCGTTTAGCTGTTTCAATAGTCATATACGCGTTGGACCAACCGCCTAGTGATTGAGCTGACTTGTATCTCTGCTCACGTCATTGTTGTCCTGCCATGTCTAGCTGTGGCACTGATAACTGACCCAAATCACCTCATCGCAAGCTGGGACAACCACTTTCCATGGTCAACCATGGCTGGTGTTGTGACCAATCGCTATCCTCTGAATGCCCAACAATTTTGCCTATTGCCATGTCGCATCTGCACTATTCAGACATGGATTTCCCATGATGAATGCAGCTCCGATCCCTTTGGTGGATGGCACCCCAATCTGGGGTGGGGTTGGTCAGGTTTACTTTTTGTCCCAAGCAGTAAGCCGATCCCAAACATCCGTCAAGCAGCACAACTTTGAAGAGGAATGTCTGATCCTCTCAGCAGGCTCCTTTGAACGCTGTCCTGTGTGCAAAAACATTGCCACAGGCAAGAAACACAACTGTGAGGTTCCACCTAGTGCAAGTTGTGCATCACTACCTTGTAGAGGAAAAGAAGCATGGCCTGCTGCTGTTCCTTAATCAAGCTAAAGCATATGACCATGTCTCACATGAGATCATGTTTTCGCTGCTATGAAATTTCTGCATCCCCGAGCCTGTCATCACGCTGATAGAGGCGCTGTACATATCGGCACAATCCGAGATCCTCATCAATGGCCAGCCATTGCACCCCTTTTTAGTGGCAAGCAGCGTATGCCAGGGTGACACACTATCCAGCACCATGTTTTTCATGGTAATGGAGCTGCTGTGCTGCATTATCCGAGATGAGCTCCTGGGTGAGGCATTCAACAAAGCAAAGACAGAAATGCTGGTGCTGCTTGGCACACCGTTGTTTGAGTGCGTGCCTAGTTTTGACATCAATCCAGCATTCGATAAACAGCCATTCCATTACCTGGGCACCTACATAGGCAAAGATGTAGACCACACCAAGATTGCCAACCAAATGCTCACCAAAGTTGTAGCACATGCTGTCCATGTCATACGGCTGCACTTGACCTTATGCAGCTGCACCCTGGCACTGTCAATATTCATGCTCCCAAAGTTGAGTTACATATTCGCATTCATCCCAATTATGGCCACCAAGGCATGCAATGCAGCCTACCTTCTATTCCGTATTCTATGAAACTATTGATGCCTGTACCTTAACACGTTGATAATGGCTCTATCCACATAAGCAGGTGGATACAACTTTCAGAATGCAAAGACAATCCACCATGCAATTCTGTTGAAGCAGGCGCACTCGCTGACCAGATTCCTTCACATCCTAATGCCCTCCTACTGACGAGACCCGCCACGTCATAGTTCCCAAATGGGCTGAATTGCTGAATTGTCTCTGGATTCATGGCGTTCAGTTGTGTGCGCGTAACCTCATGCCAAACCTTCTTAAAAACACCATTGACAATGATGAGCGCATGAAGGTGTACCTGAATCTATTTGTCCAGTTCCAAAAGGACTTGGTGTCCTATAAGGCAGACAATTCCTGGTTGCCGACATGGGAATATGTGTACTCGAGTGCAACCATGGGCTCGCTGCAAGTGCTTTTCCATCTCGTTCTGATTAACAATATTGCACCCACAGCAGACCTCCCGCTGCTGTGCATCGGCCGTTTGGAACCGCTGAAGAAATCCTGGAGTGTACTAGATAACACGCTCATTAGCACAAGCCTGCGCACTGCCAACGAGGACCAAAAAGAAATCCGATTCACGGCGCCACTCACAATGACATGCATACCGGCCATCCTGATGCACTTTCCAGCACCAAACTCATACACAGCGCCGAAGAAGCAAGAGCAATGTCAAAGACTCCACAACACACTCCGTGAAATGGGCCACTACTTCCGCGACCACGACACAGCTTTTATTGATAAGGCACGCAATCGCCTAGCTGTCGGCAACCCGACATACAGAGACAAACGAAGAAAACGATATTTGACAAGTGGTACAACCTCAAATCTATGTGCCGCATTGTGCTTCCAATGCCGCCATCGCTATTACACCTCGAGCTTTCAGAATCTATTAGCAAAAATCATGTTCTCGAGAAAGACGCCGAATGGCAGAATGCCGTGGTCACTCATGGACAGCCTGCGTGCACCACCCAGATGCGTGAGATAGTAAAGCAACTGATGTACGACCGCGTCCTGAGACGGAAAGGTAACCTCAGCTCATGTGCATGCCAAATCCCGCCTGCGCCGATTGTAATGAAAATCGCTTAACATCTCCTCGCCGAGTTCCCTATTACCACCAAACTGTACCCGTAACTTCTCCCGGCATGGATCAAAATTGCCAACAACCTGCTGCCGGTTGTATGTAAAGAGGCCAAAGAAGCACCAGTCCAGAAGTCACGGGTGTCTGCTAATGAGAAAGGGGCACTCAGCCAGGAAGGCCCGGTGCCACCCGCGCCCCTACTAGATGTACATGCCCGGTGGCCTAGCGCCTGCTCTGAAGAGGAGCAGGCATGCCTTCCTAGCGATAACCCACCACCGCTGCCATCGCTGCCGCTGCCCTCCCTGTGCCCGAATCAGACAAGTACGCAAGGCAGCTCTGCGCAGTCCCTTTATAAACCAAAAGGGACCCTTCCTGCATTGCCGCCGCCCGACATGCCAGCTGTGTTACTACCAATCTTTTGCTGGGTCGGAATATACATGCCGCTTTCGCCGACGGCCTGTCAGTTTCACTCCATTTGGCAGATTGCTTCCACGCTGCCCATCCATCTTCTCTGGATGCAACACAACGAGCGAGTATACGAATAAAACACATAAACCTTCACGCACTTTGTACAAGCATATAACAGTGAGTTCGACAAGCTCTCCAGCGAGTTATGCTCCCCAGGTGACCCCATTGCCACTGACCCGCGACACGCACACCTTTAACACCCTCATGACGTAATACGCGCTCAGGACCCGGCCCAAGCCGACACGCCTGATCCACTGCGTTATTCGCATTAAATCGCCGAGTTCCGTCCCCAGGGTGGCCTGCGCGTTTCCATCCCCCGGCCCAGTTTTGGGGCAGGA